AGAAATAGATTGCAGAGTCGACTCTGACAATGAGAACACCAGGAACATTAGTTGCTTCTGGATATTGCTGAGTGTTCCTATAAACCGTAGTCCTCGGTATTTTACCAAGAACCGCAGTTCTTGGACGTGTCACTTGCAGAAGAATCTTAGCAAACGATAATGCCACCTGTCGTTTATTTGTCTCAAGAATCATTTTTCGGAACATAAAAAAAATTGTATGAAAAAAAGAAATTGATCATTTATTTGTGTACCGAGATGAGAAGGCCAATTTCGATGGAGATGAAAATGACACCAAAGAAGGCACCCATGCAAGCAACAAAGTCAAATTTATCGATCTTCCATATAAGTTTCATAGCTTTGTAATCGAATAATCCAACAACAGCAGATATAATGATGGCAGCAAGAATAGCGTTGGGTGTGTATTTGAACAAGGGTGTGATCACCAGCAACGTTAGTAACACCACTATCGACATTACTATGTTCGACACAGCTGTGTTGCATCCTGCCATGTAGTTCACAGCCGATCTCGAGAAAGATCCTGTTACAGAAACAAAATAAAATTTAAAATCGAGGATTATATATATAATAATAATTAATGTGTTAGACAATTACGAAACAAACCTGTGGCAACATAACAAGAAGTCATAGAGCCGACAATGTTCATTGTGCCTAATGCCACCATTTCTTTGTTCCCATCTAAGTGATAGTCTTTCAATGCTGCAAATGTTCGACCAATTGCTACTGCTTCCTGTTTTACGTTATATATATAAATATATGTTATAAGTACTCAGAAAATTATACAGGTTCCTGAATGAAGATTTTCTTGGCTTACAGTTAGTGCAACTAAGCCTGCGATAGCGCCAATTCTGAAACCGGTCATGACATAGCTGCCGGTGAAGTGGATTTGATCGAGAGACGGAGGGGGTAGGCCTCTTTCAATATGACGGACCTTCGGATAAGATAAAACGATTTATAAATTAGTTTTTATTTTATTTTTAATCACTAACTCTGAAGAAAGTTAGCAAATACGTACGATTTGGACTCCTTTCTTGTCTGCACGGGTGATGAAAACGCAGAACGTTGCTATGATAACAGACAGCAATGGAGCTATCGCAGGAACCCAAAATAGTTTCTTGTTCCTTTTTCCCTGATCCAACAAAACTTATTAGTATATAAATATTAGAATATATATATATATATATATATATATATATATATAAGACAAGTTAGTTAGGCTTCTTACAATATACTTGGTAAGGAGCAGAAAAGCCAAGAATGTGATGCCTATGACACAAGTCTCCCAATTCCACTGTAATAATAATAATACATAAGAGAAACATCTAACTAATTAGCTTCATAATCTTATTAGTTTTACTAATGATGTAAGAAGATTGTAATTAGCTGATGTAATTACCCCATGATGAACATTAGTCCAAACGGAACGCATAACAGAAACTATGTCGGTTTTCTTGGTAAAAGTCTTTACACCGAGCAACCCCTTCAGCTGTTGAAGGCCGATAGTTATGGCTGCTCCCGCCATAAATCCCACAATCGCCGCGTGAGAAAGGAAGTCAATCAAGAAACCCAACCTTAAAACAAAAAAAAGACAAAAAAGTCCTTTGTTGTTAAATTAAATCTTTGATGATATTAAGAATCTTTTTCTTTTCTTTTCACAAAAAGAGGAAAAATATATACCTGAAGAAACCGAGAGTAAACTGAATGATTCCAGCAAAGAAAGTAGCCGTAAAGGCAAGTTTCTGATACTCGACTTTGTGTTTGGGATCGATTTCCTTTTGAAGCAAACTTCCAAGCAACAGAGAAACCACAGCCACCGGTCCGATGGCTATATCCCTCGAGCTTCCCATTGCAGCATAAATCAATGGCGGGACAAAACTACTGTCTGCAAAATTATTCATATAAAAAAAAAAAGGTATTATTATTATTATTATTTTATTCAAGACATTAAAACAAATGTTGATCCATGTTTGTCTTATTTTTAATGAAACTTACATAGGCCAAACTGGGGATCCATGTTGGCAAGCTTTGCATATGCAATATCCTAATGCATTAACAAACAACAAGAGAATCGAATATTGTTTAGAAACTATATATCAAACGTAGTTAAACGAATTTGTCTAATTTATCTTTTTCGAATTTTATTGATTAATTCACCTGAGGTATGCATAGACTTGCAATGGTGAGCCCAGCTATGAGATCGCCTTTGAACAAGTGGAGTTTGTAGCGTTTAGCCCAATCAAGAATCGGGAAAACGCCTTGTATAGCAAGCAACAATTTTCTCGATTTCGATTGGTCCTTGAAATGTTTGAGAGGTTCATCATGGAAGAAAGTCTCCTCCAATGCAAACTTGATCTCTTTCAAGATCCCTTGCTTAGGTGGCACCCCCACCTTGTGAACATAAGGCCCGTCATTATTGTCTTCACTTGTACCGCCACCCTCGTCTCCAATACGTGTCATTTTGGCCCGAAAATGCAATCACCTAAGATGAAAAAACAACAAAAAACCCTATGATTAAACATCAATATAACATGATAAAGACATATATACCTTAAAGCTAATTAACAAACATATGAAATAATCCTGATTATTCTTGAATGTTTATGGTTTCCGTTTTTCCGTTATCACGAATACAAAACGAAACTGGTATAAAGGTAGATAAAGGGCAATGGGGAGTACCTAGTGTGCAGAAATATATTATATTCTCTCAGAATGTGATATATGGTAGATAAAACTTAAGCGCTTATATAAGCTACAAGAATATAAAGTCAACTGTATATGGATAGAGAGGAACTAAAGTAATCGCACATAGGAGAAATGAACCTAGATCACATACAAACTACATTCAGGTTTTGACTTAAGAATGACAGTTGTGGATTTATTATTGTCGTCAAAAGATTATCTTAATGATGAATGATTGATGATTATGCAAGATATATGAATATTGTACATACATATATGAGATTAAATACTGAGTTGACTTTTATCTAAAACTGTGTACTAGTCTATTATATACGTACATTTTCTAATTTACTTACCACTAAGCTAACTCTATCGGATTTGGAATATATGGCCATTTATTCGGTAATTAAGGTGGTGTTTTCACTATATTCCAATGCATATTTTTCTCCGATAAGATCTTAAAGTTCGAGAAAAGGATAAAGTATTTATCAATAGATTAAATTACTCGAAATCGACTTGTATTCAACCACATTAATATAAACGCAAATTTTAAGAGGTAACTGCAGTATTAATATTTTAAAAAACTCGATTAATGTAAAACTAGATTCATATAAATCTGCAGTATTAACAATTTTTAAAAAACATGAACTCTGCATATAACAACACAATAAATATTTCCACATATAATCGAACTTTCGAATCAAAGCGAAATGGCATAAATAAATAAATTTAAAAATTAAAAAAAAAAAAAAATTAAAAAATAAATAAATAACGCAATAAAAACATAAAATATAATTCTGGAATAAATCTGACCTTTTCCCTTGTGTAATGCATGGAATCCACTCGACCAGTTCTTCGATTTCATCATCTCAACATACAGCTGGAGAGAATCTAATATTTCTAATAATTACAAAACAAAATTAGAAAAAATCAAAATCAAATGGTTTCTGACGAATTATCCAAGGATAATCACATAATAATATTTTCCATCAGCGAAAATAAAATAAATCAAATTGAAGAACAAGGAATTGAGGGGAGACGCTAACCTGATTTCCGTCCAGGTTCAATGAACTGGAATGCGTTGAATTTTCAATTTTATTTTTTTATTGTTTTGAAGCAAACAGCTGGAACAAGTGAGGATATGGGATTTGGGAACACGTCGAATTTGTTCATCAATGTTTTCTAGGGTTTCTGCAGCGTAGGAAGAAGGGGGGTGAAGACCCCCTTCGTCTTCTCTCTTATCGCTCACTAACATCTAAAATTCTAAGTGGGAATTTAGAGTGTGATTTGCTGATAAACATAAGAGGCTAACTGAATTTGTGTGATCAATTATTTTTTTTAATTCCACTTTGCACCCTTGAAACATCGTTTTTTGCACTTTGCACTTTAGAAAAAATTAATAGCACTTAGCACCCTTAAAACATTATAAATCATGCATAATGCACCCCGAATGAAGTTTTAAAGCTTATGAAGGTAATTTAATATTTTTAGGATGTCAGATGTCAAATTATTCTTCGTTATATCCACCAATTCTTTTGAAACTACAAAATGCGAAAAAAAAAAAAAAAATCTCATCAGTATATTTAACTTTTTTTCTAAAAAAAAAACAACAAAAATCCTTCGGCTATTTTGTATCAAGTTATTTAGAAATTTTACATTTTCTTCCAAATATTTTGACTAATGACAAATTGACAATAAATGGTCCATCAGTCAAATAATTTAGTGAAAAAATATATATTTTTAAGAAATTATAAAAACAAAAATCAGTAATTCATTCTAGTTTTTTTTATGCTCGAAATCATTTTGGATATAAAAGAAAATAACAATTTAGTTTGTTACTTTGCACCCTGTAAATTAAAAAAAAAAAAAAAACCAATAAAAACTAAAATTACTCTCATTAAGTTTTAAATATTTAATTCATGGTGCATTGTGAATGATTTATTGTCTTTCAAGAGTGTAAAGTGCTATTAAATTTTGGCGATGGTGCAAACTGCCAATATACTACATTTCAAGGTGCAAATTGGGATTAAGCCATTATTTATAGTGTAAACTACAGTGAGATAAAGCTAAATAACTTATAGACCCCTATCTATAGTTAATTACAAATATTCCCTGAGTTATTTTTTCATCTTACAATTACACCCTTTTAATGAGTGATGGAAAATCCTAAAGATATCGAATATTTGTTATGAATTTTCAAATCAACCTCAGGGGTAAATGTAATATACCCACAGGGGCTAATTGTATTTTTTTTTTCTTAACTCTGGAGTTACGTGTAATTTACCTATAGTTTATTTGTTTAATAAAAGTATAATCTAGACAATTTATTTATTCCGTTAAGGTTTATAACAAACTGTTATTGTTATTCATCTTTTACATCACAATCAAACTTAGTTAATCAATACAAACAAAAGAGTTTTCTATACTAATCACAAGATAAACAACAATATATCCTAATTCAAATATGAATGTCAATTAATAAAATTCATCCTATTAATTTGACATATTCCCCTTGCTATTAATTTGACATATTCCCCTAGCGATTATATCAAATCAAAAACATTTTCTCCGACCGAAAAAAGGTAAACCTCAAGGCTCCATTTTGGGAGCCAAAGTCGAGACCGCATCTCCAACGGTGAGGAAAATATTGTCTTCTCCGACTTTGCTAGCAAATTCCGACGCATGTAGCTTGTCAAGTACCGTTTGTCCCGGGTTCGCTAGAACAAGCTGAATTTAAAAAAAAATATATATAATTTATAATTTGTGTTGATAAACTATATATTATATAATATTAGTGTATTTCACGTGATGTAGCATTTTAACGGTGTATTTATATATGAAGCAAATAACCTTTTTTGTACTAATTTACCTGTATATGTCTCTTTCCAAGACTTTTTTGTAGATCTTCCAAGGAATGAATGCCACTAGTATCTATATCGGTCACAGCTGATTACCAAAAAAAAAAAAAAAGACGACATTTTATTTTTTTCTAGCTCGAGTTGCAACGGGACTCGATGTGGGAAAGAAAGAAAAAAACCCGAAAAAAACGAGTAGAGAATATTGAGCTTACGAGACATTTCGACAATCAAATACTGGATTCTTGATTGGTCATTCTCTTTGTGGTTCTCCTCTTCATCACTCAACAACCTCAGTATCCTATAGAAAGGGATCAAGAATTGTAGGTTTAAAGAAAATAATTTATTTTTATTTAAAAGAATTTAATAAAAAAATAAATAATATATACCTCTCCCTAATGTAATTGGAGTTAGAAAAATAGATAGCAGAGTCAACTCGGACAATGAGAACACCAGGAACCTTAGTTGCTTCTGGATATTGTTGTGTGTTCCTATAAACCGAAGTTCTCGGAATTTTACCAAGAACCGCAGTTCTCGGTCGAGTCACTTGCAGAAGAATCTTCGCAAACGATATAGCCACCTATTTTTCGATATATCAAGAATCATTTCATTAGATTATATATTTTTTGTCAAAAATACAAAAAAAAAAAAAAAAATTGTACCGCTATGAGAAGGCCGATTTCGATGGAGATGAAAACGACACCAAAGAAGGCACCCATGCAAGCAACAAAGTCGAACTTATCGATCTTCCATATAAGTATCATTGCTTGGTAGTCGAATAATCCGACCACGGCAGATATAATAATCGAAGCAAGAATTGCGTTCGGTGTGTACTTGAACAAGGGGGTGATCACCTCCAATGTAAGTAACACCACTATCGACATCACTATGTTCGACACAGCTGTGTTACATCCCGCCATGTAGTTCACAGCCGATCTCGAAAAAGATCCTATCTCAAAAAAAAATCGAGGATTATTGTGATATTATCTAATTGACATATGAGGATTATATATAAAATAATTAATGTGAAATTAAACCTGTGGCGACGTAACAAGAAGTCATCGAGCCGACGATGTTCATTGTGCCTAGTGCCACCATTTCTTTGTTCCCATCTAAGTGATAGTCTTTCATTGCTGCAAATGTTCGACCAATTGCCACTGCTTCCTGTTATATACATTTATATAATATGTTATAAGTACTCGATTAGTTCGATTTAGTTATTTATTTATATTTGTTTGGCTTACGGTTAGTGCAATTAATCCTGCGATAGCGCCAATTCTGAAACCGGTGAGGACATAGCTGCCGGTGAAGTGGATTTTATCGAGAGATGGAGGGTTGATGCCTCTTTCAATGTATCGTACCTTCACACAAGATTAAACGATTTCTGCGTTAATTTTTTTGATTTTAAATAAATTAGTTATGACGAACGAAAAAAGTTAGCAAAATACGTACGATTTGGACTCCTTTCTTGTCTGCACGGGTGATGAAAACGCAGAACGTTGCAACGATAACAGAAATCAACGGAGCTATTGCCGGTACCCAAAATAGTCTCTTGTTCCTTTTTCCCTGATCCAAACAAATCTTATTAGTATCACAAAAACCAAAACCGAAACACCGAAAACCCGAAAACTCAAAACCCGAAAAACCCGAAACCTGAAAAACCGAAACCTGAAAAACGAAAAATGAAAAACGAAACCCGAAACCCGAAACCCCGAAAAACAAAAAATGAAAAACAAAAAATGAAACCCGAAAAACGAAAAACGAAAAACGAAACCCGAAAACCCAAAAAACCAAAAACCCGAAACCTGAAAAACCGAAACCTGAAAAATGAAAAATGAAACCCGAAAACCCGAAAAACGAAAAGACAAGTTAGTTAGGCTTCTTACAATATACTTGGCAAGGAGCAGAAAAGCCAAGAATGTGATTCCAATGACACAAGTCTCCCAATTCCACTGTAATAATAATAATACATAAGAGAAACATTTAACTAATTAGTTTCAAAATCTTATTATTTTTGCTAATGATGTAAGACATTAATTGTAATTAGTTGATCTAATTACCCCATGATGAACATTAGTCCAAACGGAACTCATAACCGAAACTACGTCGGTTTTCTTAGTAAAAGTCTTCACGCCGAGCAATCCCTTTAGCTGTTGAAGGCCGATCGTTATGGCTGCTCCCGCCATAAATCCCACAATCGCCGCGTGAGAAAGAAAGTCGATCAAGAAACCCAACCTAAAAAGCAAAAAAGACCAAGAACTCCATTGTTGTTAATTCTTTGAAGTAATGCAATACTTTTTTTCGTTTTCTAAGGCTCTGTTTGGATCAAGTTAAGTAAAAGAAAATGATTTCAATTTCATTACCATTTTATTTAGGAAGCAAATTACATAGTATAGAATTTTCAAATGCTCTATTTTCATTTTTCATTTAATTTATTTTGCATTTTCATTTTTGTAACTTCGAAATCCGCGAACGAAGCAGAGCGTAAAAGAAAAATATACCGGAAGAAACCGAGTGTAAACTGAGTGATCCCGGCGAAAAAAGTAGCCGTGAAGGCAAGTTTTTGATACTCGATTTTGTGCTTAGGATCGATTTCCTGTTGAAGCATACTTCCGAGCAACAGAGAAACCACAGCCACCGGTCCAATCGCGATATCTCTCGAGCTTCCCATTGCTGCATAAATCAACGGCGGAACAAAACTACTGTCTGCAAAATTCAAACCCCACACACACACACAAAAATAAATAAAAAATATTACAGTACAACATTGATAACCTCGCTTAAATAATAATTTATTTCGATCCCGGCTCGGTGAAAACGTACTAAATTATTAATTAGTTCGACAATTTAATATTTCGCTAAATTAATAGAATTTTGCTAGTCCCGACTATATTAATTTATAGAGGTTTAACTGTATACTCTCATTTTTTTATTCGAAAAAAAAAAATATATATATATATATATATATATATATATATTTTTGAATAATATATATATATTTTCATGATTGTGTTTATTACCCTTGTATTATATCGAATTGCTAAAAAACTCCTCGTGTTAAAAAGATTAGCTAAAAACCTCTACAATGCATTCTTTTATAGCACGCGATCCCCCTAAATGGCGTGTTTTTTAGGGGTAGTTTGCTAGTAAAAGTGAATTCCAGGGGAGATTTTGCTAATATTTTTTTACGTAGGGAGTTTTATGATAATTAGAGTAAACACAGGGGTGCTAAACGCAATAAACCAAGAAAAGAAATGATGGTATACTTACATAGTCCAAACTGGGGGTCCAAGTTAGCAAGCTTTGCATATGCAATATCCTAATGCAATAACAAACACAACAAAGAAATCGAATATCGTTAGAAACTATCATCGAACGTAACTATAAACGATTTTTTTCTAGTTAAATATATTTTCGAATATCACCTGAGGTATGCATAGACTTGCGATCGTGAGCCCGGCTATGAGATCGCCCCTGAACAAGTGGAGTTTGTAGCGTCTAGCCCAATCAAGAATCGGGAAGACGCCTTGTATAGCAAGCAACAACTTTCTCGATACCGATTGGTCCTTGAAATGTTTAAGAGGTTCGTCATGGAAGAATGTCTCCTTCAATGCAAACTTGATCTCCTTCAACAGCCCTTGCTTAGGTGGCACCCCCACCTTGTGGACGTATGGCGCCACGTCATCGTCGCCCGCATTTGCACCGCCCTCGTCCCCCACACGTGTCATGATTGTGGCCGGAAAATGGAATCACCTATGAAAAAGATCGAAACAACAAACAAAAAGAAAAAAAAAAATTAAAAAAGATTATTCTTGAATGATTAATATGGTTTTTCGTTAATTCTTTCGTGGAATTCGAAATACGAAAAGAAACCGGTATGAAGGTATGAACGAGTTTAAGATAAATGGCAATGGAAAGTACCTAGTATGCAGAAATATTGTTAGTGAATGAGGGTAGTGACTTATAATTAAAGCTTATATATAATGTTCAAGAATCTAAAGTCAATTATATATATATATATATAGACAGGAATAAATTTTGTATTTTACGATGAAAAAATAATTTTTTTTCTTCTCTTAATTCATACTCATATTTTAGCTCCCATCAAAAAGTCTCTAAGTCTGACCCTGACCTAAGGCGCTATCAGTTGGACATGATTCGGTGTCAGGAAAGGTGAAAACACTAATTTTATAGTGCAATTCAGCACACACAAGCATCCATGACATTCGATTGTGGATCGTCTATAATCGGACCTCCCCACGTGAACAATTGCTGCCAAACAGAGGCTAAAACAAAGAGATTATCTTAATTATGATGAGTGATTGAAGATTTAAATATTTGTGAGTAATTAATAGATAAAATATGGGATTGATGAGTTGACTTTGAGTTAGATAAAGTGGCGAGAAAAAAGCATGAGTTTGTGAAGTCTAAAAGCGTGTACTAATTAGTCTAACTATGTGTTTTAATAATGTTTCTTACAAGTAATTATATAACCCAACTCTTATTGGCAGAAAAGTCTGTAATAAGGGCTGATGTTTGAACAGAAATTAAAAAATTGTCACGATTTCAAGGGGAATATGATGCTACACCCGGTGATTTTCACCGGGTGACTCTTTTCTTGACATGTGTCATTTTTTATTAATTTTATAATTATATTTCTAAAACCCATTGGGCCATAACTGAACCCGTAGTGGGAATCTTATTAATTTGGGTGACTGGTTATATTCACCAGGTGTAGCATATAATTTCCCCGATTTCAAGTCTCCGCGCGGATGCAAGTGGGGTTTTTGACCTTTCACGCTTATGAACAGTCAAAGATGCCCCCCCACTTGGGTCAATGATTAAATTGGTAATTAACAAATGGAAATATAAATATTATTGGGAACGTGTGCACCAATTTCACATTTGCTCTCGTGTGTTTATAAAAAATATATTTTGTCCATAATGTTTTAATTATTTGACATTTCTACTCATTTCTGTCATTTTTTCATTAAAACTAACTCAATCAAACGTGTGTCCATCACTATCGTAACCGACGGACTAATGGTAAATTGACAGAAATGATCAAACATGTCAAATTATTGAAATATGAAGTACTAAATATGTTTTTTTTTTCTAAAAATGGGGACCAAATGTGAAATCGTTACAGACTTGAGGGGTGAAAACTGTAATTTTTTCAAATTTTCTATGATGATATGAAAAATACCAATACTGATAACTCGGGTGGCAACCTAATGGAATATATCGGAATAACATTTTTCAAAAAAAAAAAGAAAATCCAATATTTTATATTTATCTGAAGTAGAAAATGACTTTCAAATCTGAATCAAAAACTTTCGGAATTTGAAAAATTCATTACAAATTCGGAAAGCTTCGAGGTTTTCGAAAATGTTGCGGAAATTTGTTGGAAATATTAAAAAAATCAATTTTTAAAAAAAAAATATTCAAATTAATTTTGTATCTAATACAGTTTTTGCAGTATATTAATCCACAATTAGAATTGCCTTAATGTTTACAATCCACAACATAAACTATAAAGTGCAATATTAAAAAAAAAATCAATTTTTTAAGAAAAAAAAATCAAATTAATTTTGTATCTAATACAATTTTTGCAGTATATTAATCCACAATTAGAATTGCCCTAATGTTTACAATCCACAACATAAACTATAAAGTGCAACTGCCCCTATTTATTTATCTTTTTATTGGTTCTTTAAGAAAGTGCACAAAGTCAAATAATTTAATAAGTTTGGTTAAAAAGGGCAATCAATATCTCGTGTCAAAATCAAATTTTGTGGGGTTCATATAATTCAATCAACAATTTGTTAACTCTTTATCATTTTCTTTTAATAATAATGTTTGTAACTTGTTTGGCTAAGTTTATACGATGTTTAATAATTTATAAGTTATTTCAAAGTGCTTAGTAAAATTTAAACAAGATTATAAAAATTCAAAACATAAGACATGAGAGAGTAAATAAGATCTTTTTGAAAAAATATATCGAACTTGTAGCTTATAAGCTCATCATCATCCAAATATTTTTACAATTAATTACAAAAATAAGACGTAACAACTTATCAACTTCTAAAACAGTTTATCAGACGTAAGAGTTTATTATTTGTTCAAATTAAGCTTAGCCAAGCGGGTTATTAGTTTAGGTCGACCGAGGCTCTTCTATAACATTCACTTCTATATTAAAATCAAGTATATTTTTGTAACGTATCGTTGAAAAATGAAATATTCGATCTCAACTGTTATTTAAGTGAATTCAAACTTATTCAAATTCTCTTAAACAGAAGTTCGATTTTTTTTTTTTTTTTTAAATAAGCTTGATCAATAATTTAGTTTATAAAATTCGATGCGTCTATCCCCTCATGACATCCCAAAAACGTATAATAATTTAATGTCAAAGAGGGAGAAAAAAGAACAATTGAATAAAATAAAATTAAAGTAATTTAATTTAATTACTTTTACATTTAATTTAACTATTAAATTAAAGTAATATAATAGTTCTGAAATCTGACCTTTTCTTGTGCAATAATTTTGGTGCGTGCAAGCCTACGTATGGAAGCCACTCGATCAATTCTCCAATTTCATCATAAACAAATCAAATATTATCCTACGAAAAAAAAATAATTAAATAAATAAATGTTCATTGACACACGTACTATATATACAATATACTACTAGATAAATAATAATTATAATAATAAAATAAAAAAAACAAGTTGAAGAATATTGATCAATGATCGGAGAGAAGAAATAGATATAACTGGAGTTTCTGTCCAGGTTCAATGAACTTGAATGCGTTGAATTTTTTTTTAGAAATATATATATATAATTATATATCATTGTTTTATATATTTGTATGGTAAAAACAGTTGACCTGTTATGGTAGAGTACACGAGCAGATAAGCAACAGCTGGAAGAAGTGTGTTTTGCAACCACGTCTTTTCTGCAGAAATATCTTTCACGTATTTTGCAGGGAAGAAGGCGAAGAAAACTCCTTATTTATTCTTTTTTTTTAATTCATATATATATATATTTTTTTTAATATATAGTATGAATTATTGGTAATTACATTTTTTCCTAGGTTGGACCCAATTTTCAAACTTGTCATGCGTGACAATTATTTAAACAATTATTTTTGGAGTTTCTTTTCTTCTTTTTTCTTTCTTTTATTCTTTCTTGTAATGTGAAATGAAGAGATTGATTAATTTAATCATATGTTGAATAATAGTAAATTGGTAGTTTAAAAAGAATTTGGGGGGAATAAATACCTTTGAAAATTTGTTAGTTTGTTAGTTAAATTTTTGGAGAGGGGAAGTAGAAATTTGACAATGGGTGCCGAACGGGTTCGAAATCGAACGAAACAAATTGGAATTAGCTTTGTTCAATTTTTTTTGGGAAAATAACAGTTTTCATCCATCAAATTTGTATTGATTTCACATTTGGTCCTTCATGTTCACACAAAACACATTTGATCCCTCGTGTTTGAATAATTTAACACTTTTGGTATTTTCCGTCAATTTACTGTTAGTCCGTCAGTTAAACCAGTGACGGGCACACACATGATTCCGTTAGTACTAACAGAAAATTGACGAAAAAGACTAAGTGTTCATTTTTCGAAACATTAGAGACCAAATGTGTTTTTTGTGAACATGTGGGGTTAAATGTAAAATTGGTGCAAACTTGAGGGACGAAAATTGTAATTTTTATGATTTAAAAAAAAAAAATCAAGTTCGATTTCAATTTTCAAAAGAATTATAATCTTGAAATAGTCTCCAAATTCTAAAAACCTCGGAATTTATCTTATCACATTCACAATATCAAATGATGTAAAGTGTTGGATAAAAGAAAAATGAAATAAAGTAAATTTTATTTATATTATAGTAAATGAAATGTTATTTGCGGTCACAAAATTGCTATTCGCGGTTTATAACAAAATCCCTCAAAACTTTTAAAAATATCCAAAAACCCCCCAGAACTGCAAATAGCAAAAAAGAAAAAAAAAATCGAAAATTCGAAAATCTAGCTTGAAGAAGGGTTGAGCTTCGATTTTTTGATGTAATTTCGACTCTTTTATGTGTAATATGTATTGGGTAAGTCGATTACGGAACCAATTTCATGTTAAAAAGCCCTACAAATCGATTTGTAGGACTTTTTTTTTCGCAAAAAAATGTTCGAACGTCCAAGATGGGCGCCCAAGGCGTGTACGAACGCCCCTTTTACGCGTTTTGGGGGGGTTGTTGGATTTTTTTGAAAAAAATTGGGGTTTTAGTGAAATAAAGTATTTTTTTGGTGGTTTTGTTATAAACCGCAAATAGCAATTTTCAAACCGCAAAAGCAATTCCCTATAGTAAATACTTTTCAAACATAGCCAAAAAATTGAACCTAATTCCGAAGTCAACTATACAGCCAAATAATTGAACCTAATTCAAAGGCAACTATCTTTCTAGCCTTTGATGTGCTTTTCAGCACAGCAGATCGCGCCACGTGTCCTTTCACAATCAGCCCCGCTGGCTGTCCAACGCACCGTTGACTGACTGTTGACTTCATTAAAAGAGTGAAAATTGACTAAGTTCTGTTTGGGAGGTAACTTTATATCCGAATATAACAAGGGTAAATTACAACCGGCCCTGGTCAAATTACCAAAGCCCCATTTAGTTTGGATAATTACAACCACCCCTTCAACTCTTTAAATTTAGTGGAATTTTCTAGATTATATGGAACTAGTACTACACCCGTGCGATGCACGGGGTATTCATCGTAAAACAAATATTAAATAATAAAAAGGTTCTCAAAATAGTAAGATTAATCGTTGATATGTAATTCAAAGAAGTAGAAAATATTATGAAAAAAAACTAATTTGTATGGTGTAAAAGATGAAATAAGCCGAAATAAGTGAAAAAAACTAAACATCGAATGTTTTAATTTCCGCATAAAAAGAACAGATATATCGTTGGTCCCAAACTTGTACAACCATAATGACTTATCTCTATTTAAAACTTGAATTTGATCCATATAATCGGTCTTATTGTATTTGATACCAACCACCCTAAATGCATGTAATGCATCCAATACAGTGCATTGACCTGCATATTTTGTACAATGATCATACGAAATAAGTAAAACGTTACCGAAACAATACCAATATAAAATTTTAAGGACATAAAATCATTCTAACAAATTACCTTCATGAAAAATATTAAGTGGAGTCTATATCAGTAATAACAAAACATATAAGTAATAGAATAAATGCCATTATTTAATATTATATAAAATTTTAGGGTGCATTTGGATGGAAGGATTTGGGGAAAGGATTTGAAATCCATAATAACAAATCCCTTGGACTTGTTTGGATTGAGGGATTTGGGGATGGATTTCAAATCCACACCCCTCCTTTTTAGTTATGTTTTGAGCAATTGAGGTGGATTTCAAATGACTCCAAAATTGGAGTCATTTCAAATCCCTTCCCCAAATCAAATCCCTCCCCAAATCCTTCCATCCAAACGCACTCTTATATAATTACCTTCATATACGTTGAAAAAAATTTCTTATATACAAAATTATTAGTAATGTTGGTCGTATCGCCAGATTCCGAGTTGATCGAAATCTTAATGTCACTCGACTCTTAACTCTCGAGAATGCGACATAGAACTGTCCGTGGTCAAGTGCAGTCCTACATGAGAAAGAGTATGTCCTTGACTTTTATTGATTGTTGTTGCAAAGGAGACAATACG